CCATCAACACCACCATTAAACGGCCTTGTAGCTCAGGCCGTGAACCTGACGGCCGAGATCAGTTCCTCTCTCGGCCATAATCGTTTGACTAGGAGTCGAACCCAAACAGACGCACCACTTAACCATTTTCATCCACATCACCATCTCGACACACGGTAGACCGTGCTGGCACGCCCGCGCACAACCGCACCGCATCCAAAAGAAGGAAGCCACGTGTTAACGTACATCTCCTCGGCCCGGAGCTCCAAGCCGTGAGATTTGCGCAACCAACAACGTGTCACAAATTGTGACACGAGAAATTGACGGAAAATTAAGGAATTGATGGAAAATCCAGGAATTGACGGAAACTAAAGGAATTGACGGAATTATAAATGGGTACACCTAGGTGGTAGATTAAAGTTGATTTCAATGCTTTCAAGTAATTAATGTTTGACTAAATGCGTGATTGGCTCTAAAGATATAGATATGAATGCATTGATTTCAATACGATTATAAATAAAGAAAATGATTTAGTTTCTTAACGGTTTTTACATTGGGGTTAGTACGTTCTTATGTACTTTCAGAAAACTTTATTTTTGGTCCACTCACCTATTTAATGTTTTGCGCCCCCATGCAATAATCGTGCATAGTGAGCCACCACCAAGCTGAGTCCGCCTTCTGCCACGTCTTTTGCCAATGTAGGGTTATGTATAATTATATTATACTTGTAACCTATTCTGTGTAGAGCTCTGATATTGCCCTAGAACACATGTTTAACTGTTAGAATGTAATTATTTGCATGTTGGCCGTTGGTGTACATATTTATATGCTTGTTTGACAAGTGTAAATTTTGGGAATGGTGTTTACGAGGGAGACTCTGCCGAATTTTCGGCAGAAGTTCAACATATATTAAATTTCAGAATTTACTTGAAGGGCAATTAGGTCATTTGTGCCCGGCATCTGCCAGGTGTCGGACACGAACAGGATTCGACTCGGATTCCAATACGGAATTTGGGTCGGGTCCTATCAATTTAGAGAAAAAAATAGATAAAAAATTTAGCGAAAAAATAGGTTCATTATACTATGTAAATTGTGTTACTAGGTATATTATTAGAGAAAAAAAAGAAAAAAAAAAGGTACATTATTTGGAGAGAAAAAATAGGTTCATTTAAAAAAAAATTATTTTCATAAAACAAACAATAAAAAGATGATCAAATTATTTTTCATAAAACAAGTAATAGGTCCTTTATTTAGAGAAAAAAAAATAGGCACATTATTTAGAGAAAAAATAGTTTCATTTTTAAAATAAATAAATAAATAGATTATCAAATTATTTTTCAACATAATTAGAATGTACACTATTGTTCATAAAACTATAATAAAATAAATTACTAGTTGTAGAATTCATAAAAGGAAAACAACATAATTTTTTTTATTAAATAATCCAAAATGTTAATCACCTATAGATTACTAATAGTTAATGTTGAATTTAATATTTAATTTCAAATAAGTTTCTAAATTAATTCCTACATCCATTACAACGATTTGGATATCCTTCCAAATTCAACGTGTGTCATTAGTTACACCCCCCATAACACATTAACTTATAAATAGGGGTAGTTTTGGAATTCAAAAAATACAATAAATAAGATTTTAAGTTATATTAGGTAACTTGCTTAGTTGGATCCTAGTCATCGGGTATTATTTGAAAAAATTGGGTATTTTAAATAGAAAAATAAAGGGAAGGGTTGTAGGTGATTTAAAATGAATTTTATGGGTCTAAGCTCAATTTATTAATAAATATATCATGTATATAGGACAGAAAGATAACCTATTCGTTGTGGACAATCACTTCACCTTCACCGAGGCAAAGCTCCAAAGCCTTGATGCCACTGGAGTTGGGGAGTTCTGAGAATTCAGCTGTGGCAGACTCAAGGACAGTCCTACGTCCATGCTAATTAACCCGGGTTGTGGCCTAAGTGACTTGATTTTCTTTAGCCTAAAATAATAACCCAGCCCACCCAAGCAAGCCCCACACACACTCATCCCACGCAAATAAAATCTCATTAACTAACCCCACAAGAAGTCTGACCAACAAAAAAAAGGAAAAAAAAACTAACCCACACGTGACAACCCCCATCCCAGCCAAATAATATCCCATTCACAAACCTATGTCATTCTTGAAGAGTTAATTAAAGCAAACTAAGGTAATCTTCAATTCTTCATCCTCTTTTCTTCTCTAATGTGTGGATGTTGAAATTTTGGAGATTGTTTGAAGTTTTTGAAGTATCAATTAGGGATTTACAATTAAGACTTATGAATTATCAAACAAGATTTGCAATTGATTTTGGTGTTATTGCTTGCTTGTATGAATTATCAATTGGGGATTTTGTTGGTCTATATATTTAAATCTTCTATATATTATTCAATGGGCTATACTTTATAATGTTGGATCAACATCGAAATGTTAAGAGATCAAAGACTCTTAGAGATAAAGATTTGCAATTGATTTTGGTGTTCTTGCTTGCTTGAAATGTTTATTTCATGTGGTCTTTTTTTCTTACTAGTTTCTATCTACATGTACTAGACACATTTTGAGGGATAAAACTCATTATGCCATCACAACTAAACCCATAAGAATAGTAATTGACTGTGTGTAATTTCTATATTTTTCCACTACTAAAAATAAGAAAAGGCAACTATAAATCCGTGCCTTATTTTCTGAAAGAACCTAAACAAAGGGACAACTTCCAACTATAAATTGGAAGCTAGACCATTTGCATTCTCAAGAATAGGGTTGCAAGTTGGATTGGAAATTCTCGAATCCAACCACTTTCAATCCTAAACTCTCCAGAGATGGCAAAATCCGTTGGCTCCAGCACCACAGTTGTTCTGCTAATAGCTCTCCTTCTCGTTGCTTCCATGGGTGAGTGATCTTCAAACCCTTATGAATTCGAAAAGTTTATATTTAAATAATTTCTTGCACTGCAAGACAATTCATACGAACCCCCAAAGTTTATAATAATGTCACTAATTTTATTAGACATGACATCCCAAATATACCTTCTTTGTTTTTGTTGTTAGTCTAACAAAACTGTATAATTAAGAAGAATATAAGAAATTAAGAAACTAATTTTGTTGTTGTGATAATATACAGAAATGCCAGTGGTAGAAGGAGGAAGAGGATGCAAGCAGGCGAGCAAGTCGATGACCACCTGCACAGCCCACCCAGAGTGTGACAAAAAATGCAAAGAAGAGAAAGCAAAGATGGGACTTTGCCGTCTGATGGGCCCAAAGGCAAAAAGTGCTGGTGCTACATGTGTTTACATGAATGGGGACTTTGTATAACTTTCTCAACAATAAAATAGTTCTAGAAAACTTTTGAGAAATTAGAACATCTCTCTCTCTCTCTCTCTCTCTCTCTCTCTCTCTCTCTCTCTCTCTCTACTTTAGACACAAGTGTGCCCATGCAGACAACAGATACCCTTGTGATGGTGGCGGTATAACAACTCTACAAACACCACCACTTTCATAGATCTCATATCTGTTTTAATTCCTGAAATGACCTGCATATGCATTTGCAACATCAATATGAAGAGAGTCTCCCAACTCTTGACAGTTCAAACAAAATGATAAAATTTTTTTCCAAAGATAGAAGAGAACGGAAGCCTCCAAAGGAATCGGACCCAATAATATTATAGTTGTTAAAATCTGGACCCAATAACGAATACAAAAGGAATCGGTTCACCATTTTCATCTTTGTGATCGTATGTCGAGTCAAAGCGCCAATCCTTGTTTTGCTGCCAACCTTCCATGGTAATTCACAGCAACCTTCACAATCAAAGTATACATATTTAGATGGCTACAGATACATTTCAATCACTGCAAGAGGCCTTCAGATAGCATCAAATTGTCCCACAAATCTTAATTCTCAATCGTAAATAAGAAATATTTCAAGGCACAAAGTGTGCACATTGTACTCTTTTATGCCATTTGTTCTGTCTTCAATAATATCGTAGTTTAAATGCTGCAGAAGCCAAAAATATAGAGTTCCTTTTGTTCTACAGAACAGCATCCAACAACTTGACTGAAAAAAATAATTCAGCAAATTACAGCCAAACTGCTTGAAAACAAGTGAAATTACTGGCTAGCTTAAATTTCAAAGATTACATCAAACATTGGAGACCTTTCACGCAGACCAAACGACCCAACGCTTGGTGAGTCTTCTTCTTCACATTGGGTGTTTTGGTCTGCGTGAAAGGTCTCCAAGAGCTTTGGAGGAAGAAGAGAGATGTTTGGTTTCCCGGCGTACGTCGTTCCCAAGCGTAAGTGGAGTTTGTGGTGGGTCAGGAGTGTGAAAACAGGTTAAAAGAAGTAATTCAATTTCAGCCACACAAGGTCATTAAAACAGATTCAACCTGGTTGCCGTCAGCGGTACTTCACCGTCATCGAGGCGTAGCTCCAAAGCCTTGACACCGCCAGAGTTTGGGAGTTCTGAGAATTCAGCTATGGCACACTTTGAAGATTAAAGCATCGGATAAAGCTCCCCTTCTTGTTATGGTTGATGATGATGGAGTTGGAGAGATGATCTTGGGATGAACTAAATGGACGGTCGGATGGTGGGGAACAAGGGAGAGCATTGTAGTGCCGCGAAGCACTGGAGAATCATTTTTTCTGTTCTGATTTGTTCAAAATGCATGTGCATCCCAGTGGTCATAGGCATAGGCACGTCCCAAGATGGTGTCAGTTTAGCGTAAATTTTTTGCAATGCGGCTCCATTATTATCTTTGATGTCAAAAAAATTTGTTAAGTGATAACGTGTCATTTGCAAGGTCCGCAAACATGCCAAGTACAAATGCAGCATACGGAACTGAAATTAACCCTTCTTTTATCGAACGAGGGACCTCAGTGTTTAAGTCTAAGTTTTTTTTTTTTTTTTGGTTGGAGTGTTTAAGTCTAAGTAACACAGGCTCTCTAATACAACTAAATTTTGTTAGGGACTTAAAATTAAAATCTCACAATTGCGCAGAACACCATGGAGGTGAAGACTGATCTTACTCCCAGCTAAGAGCTCGCTGGACAATCCCTACAATCCGAATCTTTAAACCATGAGCTACCCTACATGTATCAACTAAAATAAAAGAAGTTACAGCTGATACAACTGGAAATCGGGGGTAGAAAAGAACCATAAAATAAAAGAACCCTGTGCAGTCACACCGGCAGGTTGCACCCTGCAAGGCCCCCAGCCCAGCATCTTTATTTTTTTTGGTCGGAACCCCTGGCCAGCATCAGTTCTAGCTTTTCTGTAAAATAACATACATGAACTATGCATCTCCAGAAAAGCACAACTCAGTACAGATTGCTGTTGAAGCAAAAATAAGAGCTTGCGAGGATCTTATAATTTCAACTGGAACAAACTGCCTTGCAGAAAGGGGAAAACCTATGTAGCAACCTCTGAAAGAAAGCATGTAAAGAGAGACAGTGCATCTTGCAAATGACTTGCGCGAAGGTCTTCAGGAATGGGAGCACTAAAAACGGTGTCAAAACAACTTAATTGAATATCTCGTGTTGGGCCATCTCCAATATCAGATAAAAGCAAATTGCATATCTCATCTGCCATCTTTGAATACACTACCCTGTAACACATTGGTAAATACGTAAATTTCATAACTGTAGAGCTATACCCCCTTATTAACAGGCGTCATGTGGAGAGGTCTCAACAATAATAACACAAAAGTTAATATATTATGTCACTAACAAACATAAGTTAAAGTGTCTGAATAAAACCAAACATCTGAGTCAAGGATTGTTGAGCATACCTCACGTCAACGGGTAGCTGGACACCCCAAACAGCCAAAGACTGCTTTAACTGACCAAGGAACTCTCTACATGCAAAATTTTTGCTTTCAAGAGAATCCTGCAGTAAACATTACACAGTGCTCAGCACTCATTTGAAAAAGAAAGACCAAATGACTATCACAATTTATATTTGAGAATATGGCATCAAGTTAGGTCTAGTTTGACTTTGTCTTTCTCCATTGTATTTCACAGGATAAAAATATCATCACTTGTTCAAATCCTTTCCAACATGATAAAGATCTTGTAGCATGGAGTCAATTACACAAAGATTTAGCAATAACAATTAAGTTCTTTTTAGTACAGTAGCAAAAAATGGGGTTATATATCAATTTAGTAATATAGGGCTTTAAGCTATCTCCTTATCTTCATTCATGCTCATCTTGTTAGCCTCCTACTTCCAAGATAAGTACAATAGGAAGAGCAAGAAGTGCATCAGCATCTGGCCCAATATTACTAGTAAAGACCCACTCTATCAAAGCAGGCATACCATTGCACAGATGATATATATTTTCATTTTGGAGAGATTTTGTATATTCAATTACTTTATTATCTGACTCTGAGCCACATTTAGACAGCCTAAGCCAAGACAATCAGTCAAACTTAAGTATAACTGTTAGACACAACGTGTTCCAGCTTAAGCCTTAAATTATGAGAAACGGAAACCTAGCAATAGAGCAAACCAAGCTTTGGTGTTTAAAACAATGCAATTGCTAGTTAATATATTGCAGGTTGCCTATTGATGCAGATCTACCCAATTTTTAAAATAACAGCCATATCATATAGAATAATATGCCATACCAGTTTGTTCATGGTATTGTCCGCTTCCTGCAATGAACTTCTAATTAGATAGAATGAAATATAAATCCCAGCTCCCAGGTCCCAATTTTCAATTTCTAATTTGTGGTCCTCCATGGAAGTTGCAAGCCTCCATATCTCTGAGTGTTCGGCTGCATGAAAAAAAATTATACATTAATATCAACTGAAGCAACTGTGGTCCAGATCGAGTGAGTGATTAGTTAAAATATTAACTTTGTAAATCAAATCCGTTAAAGGTACATTTTCCCTGAACAAATCAACTACCTGCTTAGATTCACTAGGTCCAATGATACTCAATTATCATGTAGAATGCTAATGATTATAAACTGTTCCAGCTATATGCATACACTTAGAAACGGAATGAAAAGTATATTTTTCTATAACAGATTCCTCAAAGTGATTCCATTAAAGTATGTCCAGAAACTTAAGAAAATACATAATGACACTAAATGGAACATAGAAGTTATTAATTCATACCAGACAAGAATAATTTGTGGGCAACAGAAGTTACGAAAATAGTATGTGCTTTCTGCCAATTTGCACATTGAAGAAAGTGTTCAAGGGCCTTTGCAAGATCCCCGTAGTAATTGAAATAAACAGCCTGCAATCCAGGAAAATATTAGTCATTCACCAACTGAATAATATGCTCCATAAGTTGGAAGACAGAATTCCAATTCCATTTCCAAGACTTTCCTATAAGTAGCCACAGATAAATTAATGGAGAACATCAGACATCAAATTTTTTGCTAGGAAGCTTAAACTGTGATCTTTTGATGAGAATCATCACAGGGAACCCCAAATCCTGGGATTCAAAAACTGGAAATTGATAAGTTCTAGCCTCGTATGGGCTGTATATCAATGATAATCTTATTGCCTATATCAGCAATTCAGAACATTCCATGATTTGTATGTTAGAATTGGTGATGAGAATGGGCAGACATCCTATTGCCTCTATCAGCAATTCAGAACATTTGTTATCGCATGATATATTAAGTTTCACCTAGTGCATACAAGTTGAAAAGGGAGGTTTAGATAAGCAATATCCCTGAACAAATCACCGATGTTTTGTCTTACTATGTTACATGACTTGTGAACCTGAAGAAAATAAAAGTCAACAGCAGCAGACTGGTAGCCAACAGATTTTTTTTCAAAGAAAGACTCCCAAGTCCCCGGAAATAGAAAAGAAAAATATGAAGCATAGGATTTCAAAATATTTTTTCATAATCTTTGGTTTGCAAAGTTAGGGTCTATTTGGATGGAAGACTTTAAATGAGGGATTTAAATTTGAGTTTTTCGTTTGGATCATTAGTTAAATCCAAATATAAATTTGATAATTCAAGACAGAGGGAAAAAATGTTATTTGAAATCCCTCAATTTTATAAAATAATCAAATTTATGTAAGAATTTTATGAGCATAAGGTATTAATATTTGAAAATCCAATAAAGCAATTTGCATTGACAAGTCACATCCAAATATCTCATTTAAATCCTTCCATCCAAATGGACCCTTATGAAATTTCAAAATAATATGAAAAGACTGAAAACTTACAGGAGTTTTAAAGTAAGAGTAATTGTAATAACAAACCATTTTAAACTCGGATAAGGGTTTCAAGCTGAATATAGAGTCAACCATTGCCAACAAGCTACCAAGCTCATCATTTTTTGTAAACAAGATTTATGTTCTAAGTATGCTAAGATGATAGAGGGAGCCACAATGGAGTTTGGTATAGATTGAATCAAAAAGATGAAAAAAATATGACATACCATAGCCTCATGAAGCCATGCCTTAGGAATACCCAAGTTCTCAATGGCTTGGCGTTGTGATTCTTGAGAACTCCAGGATTCACAATATTGGAACAAGATTTCCCGAATAAGATTAGCATGGACATATGGAAAATCTTCACAATGGGGCATGTGAAGGACCACATAGATGGCCCAATGACATTTCCCAAGACACAACAGCTGGGAAACAAATCCCATGTCAAGAACATGAAGATCCTTAGAGCTGATAGCCCCAACTGCTTCCAACACTGCACGCTGATGCCAGATCATATGGAAATCAAGCGGATCATGTGTTGATGAAAAGGCACTGAGCATGCTCTTTAGAAAGCCAACTTCACTTTCTTCACTGGCATGTAGCAGCATAAGATAATATGATAGGTCACAACGTTTTACCGCACTAAAATTCTCAGACTCTTCTACCAGTCCTTCATCAATGTAAATCGGAACAGGGTATGGAGCCTTACCCTCGTGAAGAAGATGTTGATAAGTGCGAAAAACAGTGGGCAATGAGGTGCTAGGTGCTAATTGATACCACATCAATAACCCTAGAAACCTCTTCCAATCAACTTTAACATCGTGAAAAGCACTGTTGATATTACCAGCAAGCAACTCATAAAGCCTTATCCTGTCTTTCTCAATGAAACTGAAATCCAGCCCATTGATCCTCCAACGATCAAGCTGTTGAGCCATGTCGGAACGATTGACTATGGACCCTCCAGCCTGACTTAACAAACAAGCCAATCTCACATCTCCCCGAGAAGCAGCCAGTTCAACAGCTGCATCCAGTTGGCGCCCACTCAGAAGTAATAATATGTATTCCAGATAACTGGACTCATTCAAGGAGCTCATTTTTTCTTGTACTCGATGGCATACATTCTCTTGCAACCAATAACTAAACTCTGCCCTCCGAATAAGAGGTAATGCTTCCAGGTCGACTTCTTGAGAAGCTTCCTTCACATCCTGCACCATTTCTTCCTCATTATCAGCACCCAAAGATTTCATTTTCCCACCATTTTCCCTATCAGAAAAAAGAACTTTTATCAGTTCCCAAATCATTACTTGGTGTGTCAAAACCAAACGAGAAGAGGAAGATAGCCTAGGAACTTCCAGCTGCTTCTCAATGATCTCTACATAGCTCCTGCAAATCTCTGATAGCATCAAGCGATTAGAGACAACCTTCTGCAGCCTTAGGTTAAAGGATCCAACTTCAATCTCTTCTGTCTGATGAAGTAATCCCATGTGAAAATCTAGTGGAGAATCAATAGCCATGTCAATAAGTTCCTCTCTAACTTTGTTATTTTCATCCCTAACAACATTGTCAATAGCAACCTTCTCTAAATTGATTGTGGATGATAACATCATTTGAGAACCAGTACTCCCTACAGGTGTTCCAGCATGGACTAGGGTTCCATTAGGACCCCATCCTACTCGAAATGACCTACCCATCAACAGACCTGCATCAACTATGTTGCGACAATGTCTTTTAGTTACTGGTGTTTCATGCTTGAGATCAAGCTTAAAACCTTCTTTTAGTATCTTTGGAGGCATGACCTTATTTTCTTGGGCCATTAGAATGGCCCCAGGAGAGTTTGAGTCAAAACTACCATGCTTATACTCGAGCAATGCCAATGGGGTTTTTCGAACAGGTGGTGGAGTAGATCTATCACTCATCCTCTGAGAAGTATTTTGTAAAGGAGGTCTTATGTATTCTCTACCAAAGGATGGATTATAATGTGCAGGTACTTGATTCAACTCCTCAGCTTCCTCTTCCCCATCAGGAAACATCAACATTCTCATTTCTTTCATCTTTACAGGGTCAAGCCCAAGATGAGCAGGAAGAGAATGCGAAAGCACAATTCCAGTGGGATCCATTTGGGTTTCTTCATCAGCATCAGAAATCTCACCATGGTTCATTTCTACAAGATCTTGAGCTGCAGCAGCATCTTCCATCATGATGTCTTCTTCATCATCTTCACTCAATCCAAATCTGCTGAAATGGTGAACAAAAAATTTCCATTCCCCATTTTCTGGATTAAACGAAATAAACTGAGCTCCTTGTCTCTCCGCAATCTGCCTCAATTTTTTCACACTATTATCTCTCTGTCTCTTTTCCATATTTGATGGTCTTGTTTGTAGCACTAAAGTGACTTCAGCAGGCTTGTTAAGGCCTTGGCCAACCAAAGGTTTGGCAGTTTCATCTTCATATACAATAACCTCATGTCTGCGGAACTTCACAATTTTATCTAATTCCAATCTCCTAATGTCAGTCTTCCCAAGATATTTGATGGATCCATAACCGAATCTTCCAACTGTAAAGTCCAAAACTCGACTAGAAAAACCAGGATCTGTATATTCTCGAGCAGCCAATTCCTTCAAAGAGGGCTGTGTGTAGTAATCAGCTTCTTCTAAAGTTGGTAAATAGGGTAAGGAAGCTTCAAGAGGACTAAATGTCTCACACAACGAAATGCCAGTGTTCGAAGATATCCTTCTTCTTTTTTGTTGGCACACAATTTGTGCATTACAAGTTTCAGAATCAATGCCCATTCTATAGGTTCACTTCTTGTATCATAAAGTTCAGAAAACGTCCCTAAAAATGTGAAATAAAAGACAAAGTTTAATCATAATCATTATAAATAAACAAAAAATAGTGCTTTCAATAGCACAGCATCCATTGAAATACTCTAAAATCGTCAAGCTACACAATACTTGCAGTATAAAATCGTCAAAAAAATTCCAAACATCAAATACAATAGAAACTCATTTGAGAAAACTACTTTGGATTTCAGGTACGAACAGCAATTTCCTAAGAAACCATAAACCTGTGACCTGCTTGCCCTAAAGAAGATTCAAATGATTTAAACTGAACCCAACTCTATGAAACTTCTGAGAGACGAAAGAATAAAATAACAAAAGAGAAACATCAGGCTCACAAATGGTGCTGGACAGCTGCCCATAGTTACTAAGAACTGTTAAAGGAAAGGTGTCAAACCCTGAAGCAAAAGTGAGAAAAATACATGGGTCGGCTGTTTCACGAGTTGCACGTTTAGCACGGGGAAGGCGTAAGGAGGTGTTGCAAGGCGTGGCCAGGCGGAGCGAGGCGTGCCAGATCTGGACACTTCTGAACCTGAAGAAATTTTGCGAGTATGCAAATTGGCTGCGACTCTGCGAGGAAGACGACTCGCGTGTTTTCTTTTTAGGTTTATTGTAGTGAAACGACGTCGTTTCGATTGCAGTGTTTTAAAAAAATTCTAAATGAAACGACGTCGTTTCACTTGGAGTGTTTTGATTAAAAATACACGCAAGTTTCTGTTTGTTTTTTCCTTACCTTTATTGTAATAAACTTAAGGCAAGAAGAATTAATATCTTTATTGCCTTTTCTAAATCCAGCCGGCTGTTATTCTACTTACCTTTTTTTTTTTAAAAAAAAAAAAAATTAATATATTAACACATGGACTTATCTATATATATAAAGCAAAACGCAAAAAATGGTGAAACATTCAAAAATACCAGAAAATGCCCTAGGTTAATTCAAACATTAAGAATTAAAATTATTAATTAAATAAGGATAATATGGTAAATTCACTTTTTTATATTAAAAAAATTAAAATTAAAAACGAAATCAGATAATAACTACCCATGTTATCTTTTCTTAATACTAAAAAATAAATAAATAAATAACAAAACCAAGTGCATGTGTCAAGGAGCTAGTATATATATATATATATATATATATATATATTGTATAGTATAACCCTAATTTCTACCCTTACCAGATAATCTCCATCAATTTCAAAAATTCTCTTTATCTTTCGATTGCAAGTAAGCCATTTTATTTTTCTGTTTAATTCTTCGCAACTGTAATTTGAGGTTCCGTATAATTTTTTTTTCAATTTTTTTTTAATATATTAGTTATCTTATTCGTTTATGTGATATAGTAGAAATTTGACATACATACATTATACTTGTATCTTAGAAATATTAAAGGTGTTGTTTTATAGCTATGAATCGAAAAGATCCTGCGTGGAAGTATGCAAAAGAAAAAGAGGGGAAAAAAATACTTGAGATGCACATTTTGTGATCTGAGATGCAATTGAGAAATTTCTAAACTTAAGCATCATTTGGGTCAAACTCATCATGGTATGCAACCATGTAAGAAAGTTCCTGAGTATGTGAAAAAAAGAGTGTGCCGCAACTTTGAAATAATTTTCAACTTGAAAAAAGAAAGAAAAATGAAATGCTTAGAGAGATTGGGGATGGTCCATGAGAAGGGGCTCAAAGTATGGAAACTTCATTGGATAAAGAATATGGAATCCCCGGTACTAGAAATGTTGCAGTTGATGAGGCTCTTAGATCACAACCTAAATCAAAAGGACCAATGGATAGATTTGTCACTTTAGAAGCTCGGCAAAGTACATTAAATTTAGCATACAAACAAGAAGAAAGAAAAGAAGTTTGTCGAAAGATTGGTCGTTTTTTCTTCTCTAGAGCACTCCCATTTAATATTGTAAATGATCCATTTTGGCTACCTATGGTAGAAGGGATTGCCGCATATGGTGTAGGATTTAAGCCTCCATCAATGCATGAGCTGATGACTTAGATCCTTAAGGAAGAAGTTGGATGCATCACGTAGGGAAATATTGTTAAAGACAGCGACACTGAAGTTAGACTCGCCTACATGAAAGCAAAAGTATCAATGGATCTTGATTTTTTTTTGTAAGTTCAGTGTAGATGAGGAGAATAGACTTGCTAACTTGCTTTGGAGATACTCTACTTCACTTTTGGATTATGTTGCATCTGGAGACGTCCTCATATTCAACAGCATATACAAAACCAATATGTAGGACAAGCCTTTAGTGTTATTTGTTGGTTCAAACTACCACCGGGAGAGTGTTGGTTGTGCCCTATTGCTTGACGAGACCTTTGGAACATAAAAATAGTTATTGGAGACATTAATATCCTCTATGAAAGGCAAGAAGCCTGCATCAATACTGACGGATGGGGATGAGGCGATAAGCATAAAGCAATTGAGTATGTATTACCCATGTGCAATCATAAGTTGTGCTCATGGTACGTGGCAAGGAATGCACATAATAATTTAAAAGATAAAGAATTGGTACGATCATTTCAAGTATATCTTTGAGAACCAATTACAGTCGATGAGTTTGAAAAGAAATGATAGTTTTTGAAGGACAGAGTTACTATACATAAACAAAAAGATGGCTGCAAATGATGTATGCAAAACAAGATGCGTTGGCGAAATCACTCCTTATACCCAAATTTTTCGGTGGTATGTATACTACTCAATGTGTGGAGTAAATGAACAAGTTTGTAAAAGATTATTTGAGAAAATGCGTTAAGTTGTTTGAATCCATACCATCGAAAACAGTCAAAGAAAGTGCGTACAACAATACTGAAAAGTCTTGAGCAACATACTTCCCAAATTTACACACATAGCTGCTTTTTATTGGTATGTAACAAGATCAATGCTTCGTTAGCACTCATTTATGAAAAAATAATCTATAATTTCGGAGGACGGTTGTATATTTTAGTGAAATACGATGAATCGCAAAATAATTGGAGTTGTGTGTACCTTGGCGGGAAAGATGTTCAAATAGAGTGCAACTATTAGAAATATGAAAGCGAAGGCATCCCATGTTGCCATTTGCTTTATGTGATGAAGTGGGAACATGTTATGGAAATTCCTTCGTCACTTATAATGAAGTGATTGACAAAAACTGCCCGAATAGACATTGGATATATATTTATGTTAGAAAGTGGACGCACAGAGGTTGTACAAACCACGAGATACAAAAGTTTAAATTGTATATTGTTAACAAAGTATGTTTGTATACATCAAAGAGCACATATGAGTATAGTATTATTCATAAAATTTTCTTATCAAAATAAATTAATGTTCAAAAGGTTTACGCTTCACTGCTTCAAGGCTTACGCCTCGCATAACGCGACTAAAACGCCTTGCATCAACGCCTCGCCTTTCAAAGCATTGGTACAAATATTTGTGTTCCAACTTATCTCGGAGCTTGGTGTTTTGAAGGGAAAGTTAAGCAAGGCCTTTTTGTTATCACCAAAGAGAGAGAACATATTTACAACATTAGGGTACTTAACAGAAACTCTAATGGAAATATGTCACATAGTGACTTTTTCAAGACGATGATATATTAAACTTTTGATGCCTCAACATAAAGCATCATTGAATTCCTTGTTGATGAACCATTTTCAGAAGAACTATAGATTAATATCTCACTAAAGTGCATTCACACACACAAACGTAAATAACATATGAGTTCAAAGCAAAGAGAATACAATTAATACTTCTTTTCCATATACTTTTAGTCTACATAATTTTAACCGAAATTCTAAGATCTCAACACCCAAGTGTTCTTTCATATAATACCAACAACCTTGAAGCTAACTTCAGACAGAATTGGATCGCCTTCGTGTTCACCTTTTTCTTGCAGGGCTTGACCCTCAATTTGATCAAGTCCAGGGGGAAATCTTGCTCAAAGATCCCAAATTAGACCTTGACCAAACCTTTGCATATGTACATCGTGATCCTCAACAACAACTGACCATGGCCAGTACTCCAGACACTGCGATCCTGGCCACTCAACGTCCACGGGGCCCTCCGCCCTATGCCGATGGCGCTTCTCTGACTCGAGTCACAGGCTCTTGTCCGGAGCACAAATGCATTCGCTGTGGTGGCAGCAAACATACCAGTGCTGGTTGTTTTATGAATGATCATAGAGACTTCTCCTTTAGAGACTCCTCTAGCTTGTTCACTTTTTCCTTCAGGACAACCACATCTGTGTCGTGCATAAAAGACTGCAAAGCAGCCCTAGCCGCACCAACTGGTCCGAGCGTACCCACCATATATATTGCTTTCGTGGTGCCTATCACGGCATCAATGGTACCGTATCTATCTCTTACCCTCTCAAATGCTCTTATGGGCACTGGTGGTTTAGAGAAAAATCGCTTTAAAAAAAAGGTCATCTTGGGTTGTGTGATAAAACACCTTTGAGAAGACGTGTTACTGTATTTTATATATATATCTGTGGCAAAACATGGGGGGTTGGGGCGGGAGCAAGTCGTTGGGCACTTGTTTATATTTTAGGCACTATGTTTATATTTTGTATTTTCATATACTTAAAAGCATGTACCAATTGGTTTTATTTTATTTTTAGAATTAAGAAAAGATAACATTGGTGGTTTCGTTCTTACACTGTCTTCTCAATTTGTTGTGTCTAATGCCAGTGGTACCCCCTCTCCAGTAATTGGGGAAGGTTCCTAACAGGACCCGCCCCTAATTCCTCGGAACCTGAGACGAATCCTGTGAAAATTCCGACATCACACTGATGCCGGGCTCACTTACTAAAAATTTAGCCTCTTTTCCAAATTAAGGAAAAATAGCATGAGACTTCCTACCGAAAATTTGGTAGAGTCTCCCCTGAAAAATTGGTTTTTCCCCAAATTTTTCAACCTGTTAAAAACACATTTTAAAACACCAACTGCCAGCATGCATAAGTTAACAACATGCAATTGCATAATAGGCCTCCGTCCTTCAAATAATTCGAAACAGAACCATACAATTAATGATCTCAAACAACTATACGAAATACCCCGAAAATCATTAAACCAGATTCAAATCCAATAACCACATCAAAATCCAATCACATACTCAGAATCGAACAAACTTTTTAAACATAATATATTTCGCGGCTGCACCTAGGTGAGACCACAGGCTACCTACGTACCCTTGGGCAAGGGATCAAGCGACACATAGTTCTTCCATCCATATTCACGAATCCGATAATATACAATCAATTTTTGTAGTACAAATAAATTACATTCTAGAATTATCCTTTTCCTTTAATTCAAATCACATCACACCAAATATAATTCTTTTTAAATATTAATCTTTTCCCGACATAGTAAAATAATCCCTTTTTCCTCTCTCTGTTACTTTACTACACGCCGGAGAGTCCTGTACCACACGTAGTAAAGTAACGGAAAGCCATGTATACGAATCCTCTATCACACGCCGGAATATTCCAACGCCACGTGTGATAGGCTAATAACATAATCACAGTGTCTCACATGCTGGAATATTCCAACGCCACGTATGAGACCTGATAGTCACATGCCTTTCCCACACGCTAGAAATTTTCAAC